AAAACACGACTTTTTGGGGCCCAAAAAAAAATCTCGGGGGAAAAAAAAAAAAAAAAAAGAATATTAACCTCCTCTTCTGGTTTAAATTCATGAGCTTCATGATAGAGCTCCTGGCCCTGTGTAATGTGTCACAAGCAAAAAATCGGGATTCTGATTCTCACTTTGCTAGAGCTGTTCTCTACTACAAATGTTGCGCAGAGTCTTTGTAGACATACATGCCTGTTTCAGACAAGTTGTCTGAGCTGCTGCAAGGATGCAGAAGCTCATCTTTCAGGTGCCAGCTTCTATGAAGCTATGTAACCTCCGGTCACCCTACTTTGCAGTGGGAATCCATAGCATGGTACTTTGGCAGAGGCAGAAAGAGAAGCACTTAAAGCCAGCCTCTGCTGAACTTCAGCATCGTTGGTATTACATGAGATTGTAGACAGAGAATCTGGATTATTTTTTTTATTGGTAGTTTCAAAAGGAGGTTTGGCAATAGCTGACTGAGAAATTCAGGGTTTGGTACCCATCCATCAGGTACTAATCTAATTTTTTACTGTTTTAATATAGTCTTTATTGAGTTCATTTTGATTTGTAAGTTAACAGTGAGAGCAAAGATGTTTCCATTTTAACCAGGAGTGCATTTCTTGTAATTCCTAAAAGCATTTTCAGTCTCACACAATTAAATACAATAAATGTCTTCTAGACAATCCTGTTTCTCCAGTGCACATAGTAATATACTTTCAGATCAGGAAATTTAATTTAAATAGTACATTTGATCAATATGACAGCAGCAGAGAGAAAAAGTGTAAGCAGATATTAATCAACATAAACTTAGATCCCTAGACTATCCTTCAGTCTAGTTTTACTCAAGTATCTATTCAAAAACACAACATTACAATTTAATACCTTAAAGAAATGAAGGACAATTTTTCTTTTCTTGAATCAGAATCCAGGGTGTTATTTGTCCAGTGTGTGGAAACCATGCCATATATCAGCTGGCTTCCAGCATTTTAAGATTGCGAACTGCATGGCACTAATACTTTAAGCATTATCACTTGACTTTTTAAGCTACAAATGCACTTATGGTTTTAAATACAGTGTCAAATTTTGCCTTGTCTCTCACTCAAGCCACTCCTCTTCATTAAAATGTGTCTGTTTGCTTGAAAGAAGTCAGACTATATGCTCCACTGGAAAAGATGGTCGTTAGGGATAAGCATATTCTAACGTCTGACACTGTGTTATGGTATCAAGTTACTGGTGTAGCAATAATGGTGGTTAAGGACTTCACATCATTCTCTTTATGAACTGAAATACTCCTTGTGAAGGGCAGCACTGACATGAACAGTAACACAGCTGTCAAACACAGGAAAGTCCACTCTAGACAGCCATGGGACCTGATTTCTCTTCTGGGATCCTTCATGGGTGGTAGCCATGGCAGAGTAGAAGGAACAGCAGCAAATCCAGTCCAGCTCTTTGCAAGTGAGAAAAGAAGCATTTGGCTACCTGTATGGTGACCAGGTTAAGCCTGTTGGCTTCCACTCTGATGACCGTGTCAGCACGTTTCCAGCACACTCATTAGGTGGTCTCTCCTCATTCCCTTTACTCCTCTTCACACACTTTGTGCCCTTGAGTCTAGCTTTAGCAGCAGTAAATAAAGACTCCAGGAGCTGCCTCAGCTGTCCTGCTGGAGATGTGGACACACAAAGGCTACAATTTGGAGCCAGCTGTGGAGCACTTGACAGCAGATGTGGCAGTGGTAGCTTCTACCAGGCTACTACTCTTCCTAGTCTGATGGCTGGAAAAGACCAGCA